GTATACTTAAAACCGCCCTCTATTGCGGAGCAGTACAAACATGTACTGTTTAAAACTGTAATATGACGCTTATGGATTTATGCATTAGATGTCGCTGCAAAAAGTGTAAAGTGGTAAGGTGTGCATAATTCGAATTCGTTATTCGTTATTTTTGGCATTTGATATTTGTAATCGGTGAATTTATTTTGTGATTTGTTTATAGACACGTATTCAAGAGATCATATATGTATACTTAACATACGTATTCCAAATCTTATCGGCGTGGTAAAGAGTGTAACGTTAATTATGGCAGAGATATACATAGTTTTTAAGTATACCTTTGCGGTTAGCAATCTGTCAAGACCTTTAAAGCTGCAAATAATTTCCGCCCGCTTCAAAAAACCTTCACGATTCTTTAAGAACCTGCCCTATGTTCGTGTGTATCTGTGACCACAGGTACCCGCTTTTAATAACTCCTTTACGACGAATGAGTAGCTCCAGTGTTAAATTAAACAATTATGGCTCAGCGTACCTCCTATCATATCATATCACTGTAATAATACGAATATTAAGGAATTCGAATTGTGTAAACTTTAGCGCTTTAATTTTGTTTCAGCGACATTCAACGCATAAATCCATAAGCGTCATATTACAGTTTTAAACGATACATGTTTATTCTGCTCCACAATAGAGGGCGCGTTTAAGTATACCTAAACATAGATATATAAATACATAGATACAGCCATACCCCAACATAGTTCAAAAGGACGTACCATCTATTACCATCACTTTCGGCACATTAATTACGTATAGCGCTATCCTTTATAGAGGTACCCTGAGCATGGAAGACAAGATTCGCATTATTTATTATAACTGTCAATCAAATTGTTAGCACAAATCACACAGAAAATTATCAGATTTGAGACTTTACAACATAAATAAACCGCCTTTTTATTTATTTAAATCGCATAGTAGCAAGAAATGTTACATTTAAAATGGAAGATGTTACTTAGAAAGCTGGAAAATGAAGAATTTGAAAAAATTACAGCTGACAAATGGAAGAAAGTGTGTGAACATGTGGAAAGTGATTAATTTAAAAGAGAAGTTATATTGGTTGATGTTTCTGAACTCTTATTATAAAATAAGTGTTAATAATGACAGTGATGATTCGGATTTGTCAATTTCATCTGACGATGATTCGGATTGTGAACTTTTATAAATGTAATGAATGTTCACTAAATGAGTATTATCACCAATTGGATATCATTGCTAAGATGTTGTATTTATTTTAAATAAATGTACACGTGTAGCTTACTTACTACAATTAGCACTATAATTTCAAAAAGAAACTCCACCGATTGGACATATGCCGAAAGGTAGGCAAGACGCGTAGCGACCAAAATTTGATATTGCACGCACACACAGTCTATAAATCTCGTTTTCCTAAGAATATTGCACGGATCCTTCTTTGTGATCATGATACAAACGCACTGCATCAACATCATATAGGCCAAAATGATAATTGGAAACGAATTCACTTCCTGTCGCAACTAATCTTCGTAACCATTACGCCTACAACCATGCAATTAAAATTAAATTGTTGAACATAAACTTTACTTACTTACGGTTTTTTTTTGATATTCTACAAGCCAGCAATGAATTCACTGCAGCACATCATGCCAAACAAGGTAAACATAGTCCTAAATTTGAATGGCGTAGCTCTATGTAATAAAACTATTTCAGGAATAACAATTATGGACGCGTCTATCATTATGGCAAGCACTAATGTTATTCGTATTCAATTGATAACGCAATAATCACATAATATTTAGTGAAAAAACCGCCCATCATGTTTAGGGCGAATATTTTTAGTTAGATTTGATTTCGCGCGATCGTGAAATGTGTCAACTGTCACATGACTTATGGGACGCGCTAAGTTTGTTTTAAGCGTCCGATTCGCGTACGACATAGTGGTTAATGCAATAACAAGATATAGAATATGTTTCTTCTTGGTTAGAAAGTAATGGAGAGATGTACAAATTTCTTTGATATGTTTTTTAAAAACCGAGGTACGTTTGTTAAGGATGGCTGTATCTAGGTATTTATATATCTATGGTACACTGGGATGGGTGGCGACATCTAGGGAGCGATTTTAACTGGCGCCGCATTCTGTCTTACATAATGGCGGCGAGTCATCCCTTCTCTTATATATATGCATCCTACCATCTTTAATATATCTTGAATATATGTATACAGGCAAGGCAAAACGGTTATGTACAGGGTATTTTCATTGAAGGAAAACGAAAGGATATTTTATTCTAGTTTGGGGACGCAACAGCAAGAAAGTGATAAATTTTGAATGGATATAAAAATTGGTATAAATTCATCAGTATTATGAATTATCACAGACAAAATGTATTATATAAATAGATCACGTACTTAATTGCAGTCCCCTCCCTTTCCCTTTATATGTAGGTAGGTACATTTAATTTGGTTATGTATACGTTTGGTTTATTATTTCCTTGCATACGATATCGCAGGTATTTGAATTGTTTTACTTCTTCTACTCCCCCCCCCCCCTCTCTGTTTCTAAATATGATTATCTTTTTAAGTTATTCAACTTGATATAGCTGAATTACATTTCTCTTTACTAGTCTGTATATTTAGTTCGCTAGTCTCTAGGTGAATATAAACAGGACACACAAGTATAACATTTAATTGGAACACAACATAACCATGCCTGTAGATGCAGTCAACGACATGTTCTAGTTCTAAATCTACGCACCAGAGTGCTACTACAGAATAAGATATTATAGTATCTTAAAACTACATATTATACATCCTTCCTCTTTACAAATCTAGCTTAATAGGTTTATTAATAGTTCGACCTGAGCGGGTAGTTACATATGACTCTTTAACACATTGGAAAGGTGGGTTTTGCAGATCGGAAGACAGCTGAGGTCCACTTTCAGAGGTTTGAGGTAAGTTAAGCAATGTCTTTTCATTATTTTGAGATATGCTCTCACATTCATGATCTTTTACTTGATATTCGTTTTGCGACATCCGCAAATCATGTCTGTTCCTTCTGAGAGTATTACCTAAACTATCTTTAACAACGTATGATCTGGGGAACTGATGAGTATTTACAATTTTACCAGGTTCCCACGTGTTAGTTACATGGTTGTAAACAGTTACGTTACTATTGTTATCTAAAGGAGCATGGTCTGTTGCATGTTTATTAAAATAATCTGTATTTAACTGTTGTTTGTATTCTAATTTTTTGGTCATGTTTTTGCAAAGTTCTGGACTCAATAACTCTTGTGCTATAGGTATTTTAGTTTTGCATCGGCGTGAATTTAATATTTGAGAAGGTGAATAGTTTATATGCTTTAATGGAATGTTTCTGTAAGCCAAAAGAGCCGAATACATATCTTTCCCTTCCTCTTTCGCTTTTTTAATGATGCTTTTAGCAATTGCAACCGCTTTTTCAGCTAATCCGTTAGATCGGGGAAAATTTGGGCTTCTAAACGCTAATTTAAAATTCCATTCCATTGCAAATTTTTTGAAAATTTCGCTATTAAATGGCACATTATCTGCTACTAATACGTCTGGTGATCCAAACCTTGCAAAAATTTGTTTGATTTCCTGCATAACAGTTACTGCGCTTTTGTCTTTAATTTGTACTATTTCCAACCAGTTTGAAAATGCATCGTACATGACTAAGTAGCTTATTTTAGCATACGTAAAAATATCTACGGCTACTCTTTCCCAAGGTCTTTTTGTTATCGGATATGGCATTAAAGTTTGATATGAATTTTTTCGCGCAAACTTCTCGCATACTTTACACGATTTAATAAACATTTCGATGTCATGTGACATACCCGGCCAATAAAATATTTGCCTTGCTCTTGATTTGCATTTTTCAATCCCGAAATGACCTTCGTGTATTAATGTTATCATTTCTTTTTGTAATTTTTTAGGAACTATTAGTTTATAATCGTGAAATAATAAATTTTCAATACTGTAAAGTTGATCTTTGATTTTGAAAAATGGTTTAGCATCGGTGGGAATATCATTTTTATTTGCGGGCCATGAGGTTTCAATATAATTGCGAATCAGCTGCAAAGTTGGGTCATTTTTTGTTTCTTTTTTAAATTGTTCTTTCCTAGATTCTGACATAGATAATGTTTTTGTTAATGAATGCACAAAGTAGTCTATTTCTTGATTTGATTTTAATACTTTTTCATTTTTTAGGTAAGCTCTTGATAATGCATCTGATATGTACATTTGTTTACCTGGTTTATAGGTTACATGTAAGTTATAATTTAAGAGTTTTAACCTGATACGTTGTAATCGTGGTGAAATTGATTGAATATTTTTTTTAAATATTGATTCTAGGGGCTTATGATCACTGTACATTTTGATGTTTAACCCATAAATAAATAAATGAAATTTCTGTACTGCAAAAAGTATTGCTAAAGCCTCCTTTTCGATTTGTGCATATTTCATCTCGGTTTTTGTTAAGCTCCTTGAAGCAAAAGCGACTGGGTGCTCTTCTTGTATTAGACAAGCGCCAAGTCCGTCCTTTGAGCTGTCTGTTTCGATAACTATTTCTTTTTTAGGGTCGAAAAACGTTAATACTGGTGAATTTGTCAAAATCTGTTTTAATTGAGTCACTGCAGCTTCATGTTCAGTTGACCAATACCATGGAACATCATTACGTGTTAAGTTTCGCAATGGGGCAGTAATTTGAGATAATTTTGGGATAAATTTGCCTAGATACTTGACCATGCCTAAAAATCGTAATAACGAATTTTTACAAGACGGCACAGGCATTTCTATAATGGCTTTGACATAATTTTTATTAGTCTCGATACCTTTTTGACTAAATATTTGTCCCATAAATTTGACAGAAGATTGTTTGAATTGTATTTTGGTCTTATTAAACTTGACATTAAACTTAAGAGCTCTCTCCAACACTATTTTGAGATTTTTGTCATGTTCTAATTCAGTTTCGCCTGTCACAATGAGGTCGTCAAAATATAAACTAACGCCTTCGATATCACCAAAGAGTTCGTAATTTTTTCGCTGGAATACTTCTGGCGCGGAACATACACCAAAAGCTAGCCTTAGAAATTGATATCGACCATACGGTGTACCAAATGTTAATAAATTAGCACTTGCGTCGTCTATTAATACTTGCCAATAACCGTCCTTCATGTCAAGCACAGTAAAGAATTTTTTACCACTTAATTTGGCGGATATTTCTTCCATAGAAGGTATTAGAAAATGTTCGCGCTTAATAGCACAGTTTAACTGTTTGGGATCTAAGCACAGTCTTAAATCTCCATTAGGTTTTTCTACAATTACTAGCGGTTGAAGCCACTCAGTAGGGTGCTCTACTTTTCTAATACTATTTGATTTCTCTAACTCCTCTAATTTTAATTTTAAACGATTATGTAAAATTTGAGGGACACGCCTAATAGGTGCAACTGTAGGACTTACATTTTCATTTAACGTTATATGATGCTTGTTAGGAAATGTTCCTAACCCCTGAAATACACTAGGAAACCTATTCACTACATCTTCGGATGATTTAAAACTAGCCTGTAATTCATCCACTCGCTTAATTAAATGCAATCTAATACAATCTTGCAATCCTAGTAATGGCATTTGATCTCTAGTATCGACAATTACAAACTTAATATTACACACGTACTTGTTTACCTTACATTTCAGTTCAGCTTCACCAACAGGAGTAATTTTAAATTTTGTACTTCCATAAGAAACTAAAGATACATTTGACTTCTCGATCCTACATTTAGGTAACGTTTCTAAAATATTTACTGGTAGTACGCTCACCTCGGCACCCGTGTCTAATTTAAAGTTTATCGACTTGCCACAGATTTCCACTTTCTTGAACCACATGGACTCTTTATGTGCTTCCCTTTTAATTGCACTCACGTAAAACTCGCATTCACTTTCGCCACTCTCTTCACTTCCACAGAGTTGATGATCTTCCGTTCCAGACACTTCATGTACATCCTTCCTTTTCTTTGTGTACTTCTTGGTTTCATTGGTTGCCTTTTCACGCGTACACACGGAAGCAAAATGATTTTTTCCTTGGCATTTCGCGCAGGTCTTCTTGAAGGCAGGACATTTTTTAGGTGCGTGCTTGTACCCACAGTATTTACACTTTAGCGTTGCTTGTTTAACAGTGCTCACGTCAACTTCTTGCTGTAGTACCTTGGACTGATTCTTGCTTACTTCAGAGGCCCTACAGAAATCAATGGTTTTCTGTAACGTGATGTCGGCTTCTCGTAGTAATCTTTCTTGTACTATCTTGTTCTTGATTCCCATGACGATTCTATCTCGTATCATATCATCTGGATCAGAATATTCTGTGGTTTGTACTGCTTTTCGTAGATCTGTCAAGAAATTATCAAAGGTTTGTCCTTCTGCCTGAACTATGCTGTTGAATTTGAAGCGTTCGAAGATTACATTTTTCTTTGGCGAACAGTATTCCGTAAATTTTTGCTTTATCAGGGTCAAGGTCTTCTCTTTCTTTTCCTCTTCGGTAAATGTAAATGTATTGTATAATTCCAATGCATCCTCGCCAATCACATTGAGAAAAACTGCTACTTTCTTTCCTTCAGCTTTTTTGTCTAGGTCAGCTGCTACAAGGAAAAGGTCAAATCTTTGTTCAAACTTACGCCAATTTTCTGAAATATTGCCGTCCAAAACGAGGGGATCCGGCGGTTTAAATAAGCCGTCCATTTTATTGACAAGTGTTGCGTAATTTTACAAAACTTCCACGTGCTCTTTACTAGGTGCACACATTCAAACTACAATTTGTGTTCCACAACTACCTGACACCATGTATTATTTAGTATCGCTGTCTCTAGGTAAAATAATAAACAGGACACACAAGTATAACATTTAATTGGAACACAACATCAACATGTCTGTAGATGCAGTCAACATGTTCTAGTTCTAAATCTACGCACCAGAGTGCTACTACAGAATAAGATATTATAGTATCTTAAAACTACATATTATACGCAGTCACCATCCTTACCATCATTTTCTGCATATGTTTTGCCTCATTTGGCATTATTAACTAGCTCCTAGCGAGTTTATAATTTTGCGGTGTCTGTCCGTCTGTCCGTCCGTTAGCACGATATTTCGATAACGAATGGACCCATTACGATAAAATTTAGTAGATGGATTCTTTATCAAATTTGTAGATCGGAGTTCGTGAAATGGCAATGTAGTCCAAAAAATAAGGAAGGCCCTTTTGACATCTCCGTGAGTTATGAACCGAATTGCATGAAATTCAATATGCGTATAGCTTTAGCCGTATAAAACGCAATTCCAAAAATTAAACCTAATCGATCAACATTCACAGTGCCCGTTTCGTATCTCGACCATTTATAAGCCGAATTGCAAACTTTTTTATTTATGAAAGTATTTAAACGAAATTTGATACAGAGCCACTTGGAATAAAAGCCAATTTAACGCCAGTTTCAAAATTTGGTTTTGCGCATGCGCAGTGCCAACCTTCTTATTTATGGAGGGATTTAAATGAAATTTGATACATAGCCACTTAGAACAAAAGCAAATGTAGCGCCATTTTCCAAATTTGGTTTTGTGTAGGATGTGCAGTGCCAACTTTCTTATTTATGGAAGCAATTAAATGAAATTTCATGCATATACACTTTAAATAAAATCAAAACTAACATCAGGTTTAAAATTTGGTCTTGCACATGTTATAGCCATACTCAGGAGCTCGTTTTCTATATTTGTTTAGTTTATTACTGTATGAATCGTGTATGTCAGGCGTCAGGGACCCTATCTTCTCTCTTCCTACTGCAAGCACTTCCCGTTCTCTTTGACCTTGCTTTAACATTGTCACCTTGTCTTTTGTACAGGTGTCAAATAGTGCTGTACGAGTGGACACCCCTGCCTAAGTTCTTTATCTGTCCAAAACATAACCGACTTTCTCTCTCCCTTACCCCCACCACCAAGGTGTGCTATTGTACGTCATCCTGAGAAATTATACTACTTACTAAATCATCACGAATCGCACTTCTATCAACAACAATACATAATTGAGCACGACATTATAGGAAAGGAACATTTTAGAAGTTTGATGCTAGACTGGGAAGCTGTTCGAATTGCTCATCAAAATTATGAAAGTTTTATAATTTTTATTAATCAATCGTGCCTCCTAATTGCATATTAGGAATACTTTGACAAAATGTGTGCATACAAATACCTAGTATGTACTGATCCTTACGTGGTACCTACGTATATAAATAGGTAGCAAATGTGAATACATTAATACATAAAATGGACAAAAGTAATACAGAATAGTACCAAATTTATAGAATTGAAATGTTATACAAATCTCCATAATGCTGTCGAGATAAGTTTTATCACAGCCAAATTTAGACTTCTACGGCGGTCCATAATGTCCTGTTGCCAAACCATAGCAAAATTAGTGTAACATTTAATTCCCTAAAGTAAAATACCATTAGTCAAATTGCAAAAGATTCTCTATTAAACTATAGGTATATAGGTAAACAGAACAGTTCCCTCGGAAATAGGTAACCTACCTGTGAATACACATAATTGTTGTGTACATTGACAATACACGGTGCTCATACACTACACGGATGAAACGTTTTAATTGCAATTGATAAAAGCAATAAAAAGTGACTTAGTTAAGTGCAATGGTTTTGAATCTAAAACGTGATAGAAACATATGAGTGCAATGTGAGTTTCACTAAAGTTTCAATACAAGTGCTGTCTATACCTACCCTTGTCTGGAATCAACACATTAACAATAATTGTCTACGTGTACACGTCGACAGGTCTACTACTTTGACGTAGGACAATCTACATACGCTAAACCTGTTTGAGGAGAAAGGGAAGGATATGAAGAAAACATAAAAAAAAGGTATCCGAAGAAATAGAAGCATCCGAAAAATGTGAGTGCTCGGATAGATTTGGAGAAAACGAACACGAGTTTAAAAAAAATCTGAAGAGTTCGTACAGTAGACGAATCGAGAACTGAAAGAAATAGAATGAATGGAAAAAGGCAAGAATTTTGAGATTAAGAAGAAAATAATTAGTAGGGTCTGTGATCAATTGCAAACATAAAAACAATCCAAAAAATAGAGGAAAACTCCAAAAAAAGGAACCTTCTACAATTTCTATGGTCAGAATCGAAACATCCAAACAACGAATCATTGCTTCAAACACAAGAATAACTAAGGGATGATTTTTCTGTTTCAGTTAAACATACTTGACGATAATTTCCATGGATACAAATGTATTCACATAGGAGGGTTATCAATCAGATAAGTAAGAGAAGAGAAAGAGAAGAAAAACCCTCTGAATGAAAATAGAAATGATACTCTCACATGTGACACCGGTGATTTACGCAGTGTGGACGTAGTGGACTTAAATAGCTACTTACTACGGTAGGCACGTCTTGCTATTGCGAGTTCAATAAAGAATACCGCTGTTGAAAGCAACAATCCAAATCCAAGAAAGGCAAACGCAAAGCATAGATGGCGTAAGGTTAGCACCACTTTCTCGTCATCTTCAACTCTGGGCGTTTTCATATAATCTTCTTTCATATCCTTGTACATTTTGCTGCCGATCCCTGACTCTGTAATTGATGCAATAAATCTCTCAAAGTAAACGCTAAAGTAGTGATTGGGATAGTGTTGCAGTCGCCAAACCAATTCGCCAGTAATGCTGTTGTCCACGATTTTGTATATCTTTTGATTAATGTTCCATAGCTGGTGAAGTTTAAACGTATAATCTTCTGTTTCCACAACCGCACAATTACGATGATTGGCGAGATTGAGGTGAACCGCGATAAATTGGTCAATATTTGTAGCGGGAAATGTCGACTCTTTCAGTTTTCTGTACAGTTTACATTCGATGACGTTGTCATTATTAAATTGGCTCTTTAAAAAGTTAGCATGGCCGTATATGGGAAGATTAGAGTCTGCCAGTTGCTTTAGGTTGCTGATTTGGAATTCATATTGCGGTTTAGTCAAGATATTAATCAAGTTTGACGTGAAGCCACAATTGATGTGGATAAAATATACCAAGTACGTGATTAGAACACAACGTAGAATGGCAGATTTTGGAACTGTGGCAACGGAGCCCAGAATTGTAAGTGAAGTCAAATTTGTTATCGCAATTGCCATATTTTCAATATTCCAACTTCTTTGCTCGCATGACATGATAATCCACCACGCGACCATGACAATGATGAAACTGACCGCGATTAACACCCAGACTTGTTTTTCAAAAGTAACGAAGATTACCTCCATCGGTGGGATGATGTGAGCACGAGGTACCAGCCAGACAATATTGTCTCTGTGAACGGGTGACGAATAAGTATGTACAGTTTCCTCAGAAAGTGGGAAGTAGTTAAATGTCATGGAAATGTTGGACATGCTCCTAACCTCCTTCTGTGCGGCACTGTCGGAATACATGAAATGTACATTAAATTTCCCGTTGTAATGTGCAGCCAATAATTTAAGAAAAGAACGTTTGTAGATTTTGATAAGTACCTGAGGATTATCATCTGTCAATATTCTATCTTCGTGTTCAAAAAACGTAATTGGGCATCTATTTAGGTTTATAGGCATGTTAGTATGTTTTATCTCCATTTCATCATGGCAACTGTTGCTTTGAATGATGTTTGGCGTATGTCCACACGCATTCCCCACTTCGAAACGGTTCGCTGTATACAAAACTCCATCTTCATACCCGTAAATGAAGACATTAGAAAAACCAACTGTCCATAAAAGCCAGAACATTTCTTTAACTTCCCTTTTCCAGTACGCAGCGCTAATTATTACTAAAATCCTTATACTTCCATGACCTTTTCCGTATGCTTTGAACCTCAAGTCCAACAGTTGTATTAATTGGTCTTCATAACTGTCTATATCTTTTAAGCACATAGTCACGTGATCCGTATTATAAATTTTATACTGATGATCGATATACTTGTTGAGTTTTAGCACCGTTCTAGGAATCGAGGAACCCCATACGCTGTCACAGCCAACACTATCATCCGTTACGACATTCACCGCCGTGACGTCATAAAATATACGCCTAATGGTTTTTTTTACACAATCCGTTCTTGATTCTCTTTTGCTTTGTTTCACGATCAAAGCGCCTGCCACCACGCAGACGAAAAGATACAGCAACAAAAGAACTTTCATTGTAGGTATAGATCTGCTAACTCCACCACAGAAAACGCAATAGCATCCGCAAATTTGAATTTGAACTATGTATAATAAACGTTAGCTTAGTTCATCAGTGAGAAATGTTCGCAATGATTAGTGTAGGTACCTACGGTTGCGACGAACTCCACTCTCAAAATTTCCAAAAGCTTCCTATCACATCAAGAGATATGCTCTTAATTTGCCAAAATTATTGAATAGCGGATGAAGTAAGTTAAGATTCACAGTATTTGATTCGTCGAAAATTTAACCGTCCCCGCGGACCTCAAAATCGTCGCACTATATAAGAACACGCAAAGGAAATGGTATGACCATTTCGAAACACTAATCAGTATAATAAATACAATAATGTGCATAGAGTCTGTTGAAAAACTACGAAAAATTACCTTATATTTACCAAGCTACTTTTTAAGTTTTATATAAACAAGTTGTTTGTATTGGAAATGAATTATACACAAGAAAAGTAAATGTAATCAACCTTGCTTGTAAAAGCGTTTCAATGCCGCCCTTTAACTTTTAGCTACGTATTCCACTTTTTGGTTGTGTTTGGTATCAGTCGACTAGTTTTTAAATACCTTCAATCAGTAAGAAGCGGCAAAAAACTATTTGGAAGACTATTAAAGGTTGTTAATTTTGTTTGTTAACTTTGTGCAGATAAAGCGCATTTTTTAAAACCGAAATAGCTTGGTAAATGGTTGTGTTAAAAAGGAGTAGCATCGATGTTTTCTTTCTTGTTAGGTTCACCAATAAATATGTCTCGTACAGACAATTCATTTTTTGACAAAGCGTTTTCGAGATATTCACTCGTAAAGTTTTGACATCACCAATAGAATCTCTTCCAAACATTCCAATCGCCCTTTGTGAGTAAGTACCAACCTCCCACAATCTGTTCTTGAGTTGAGATATATACCTAAGCAATTATTTATATCACGATAAGGAGTCGAGGAGGAGGCTATGATTGGTAGAAATTTATTCCTTTCATTGAGAGAGCCACCATACGAAGGATAAAACATAAAACCAGCCCCCCCCCCCACAATTCCCTCTTTTTTTGAGTCAGAACATATGGCGGTAGTTGGTAGAATACAGTTCCTTTTGTTGAAACCTTTAGTTGGAATACCATGAAAGATAACATTAATTTCTACTTCTCCCCTCAGCCACCGACCTACTGATCTACTCGGAAAGGAATCGCGCAGGAGTTATAGCTTGTACAAAGTAAAAGGTTGGGGGGACAATAATACGTACAACCATCTTAAAAAAATATATAAATGAAAGTTCACTATAGAAATACACCCCAGAAGATTCGGATTCTTTAATAAAGATAGCACCCACATATCGTTCTTCTGACGTTACTCGATTCTGAGCTTAAAAAAAAACTTGGTGGTTAGCTGCAGGAATTGCCTATGAAGGAAATGATCAATTTTAGCCAATTTATTTCTTCGTTATTCAGCGTTTTTTCTCTTTTCTCCTGGGGGTTCCACTATGGTATTTTTTGAGCTGTCTGATTTCAAACGACAAGTACCGTTGGCGTATCTATACAGACGCCGCTGGAGATACATTTAAACCCATTATTTAGTTTGATTAGCGATTTCAATTCTTTCTGCCTTTTTTGAATGTCGCTAACTGTCTCGTCTGTGCATCAAAGGTAAATGCTGGAGTGTTAAAATTACTGAGCGGCATTAATCTCGAAATACAACTTCAGTCTAAGGTTACCGTGTCCAGGACCTTCAGATACCTTCTGGACTGAAGAATTATTAATAAGTAATTAACAAAGTGTTTCATGTACGTTATGTAAGAGACTTCGTAATGTTATTTTTCACAAATGGGAAATGAGTGGAGTTGCTTTTAAAAGATATTTGAGCTGGCTACTTTTGAGCATATCAAATTTCCTATTAAATTACGGTCAAATTTGAGAGGTTGCGCCCTGTATATACAACTTACGACGATGCACACATTTTTGAGAGTTGGCAACCACGCAATTTTCAGGAGGGAAAGCGATTTGTGCCATCTGAGGCGCTTTCTTTCGGCTACTCATATATATATATATACGGCTACTTCGCAATCATGATTTGGAGATCGTGATTCGTAGGATCACGTTTTACGAAAGAACGCGCGAATTTAAATCAGAGTATGGTTAAGTTTACGTAGTGCACATCTGCATTCGAATTACGTATTTTTTGTTTGGATTATGAAAATAATTTAAATACAAGTGGAAGTACTTGCACACGATTATGCTCCTTTTCAGTTATAAATACCTATTGACTAATCTAACATTTGAGCAAAAATATCCTTGCATTTATAGGTTAGGAGTTCGTGTCAAAATACTTTTATGTTCAGTTTGTTCACGATTTTAGCAATCATGATTATAAGATCAAACTTCGAAAGAACGTGATTTGACAATCCAAACGCGTTTGGATCACCGAAAGAAAGCGCCTCTGGTTGGTGACGTTTGGCATCTTATCTTGTCTTGAATGGCGGTAGTGAACGCGTCACTCCATAAATGTTTGTGGTTATTTTGTGTTATTTAATGCAGGTAGTAATCTTTGTATTTCTTTATATCGTATTTGTGTTTTTATGCAGCATTTTATATTTTTGTGAGTTTCAATCTTTGTTTTAGAGTTGATTTAACCTTAATGCAGAATCACATATTTGATACCGTTATCCTTTTGTTTGTAATTGTTTACGTTTTTGGTGTAATGCTTGCTTAATTTATGTTTATTGATGTTGATTACTTGGTCTTGTCCCTGAAGTTACATTCATATAAATTTTGATCATTTTATTTTAATATGTGGAAATTACCGAGTTGTTTGATGTAGGTATGTACTGACTTGTCTGTAATTAACATTTTCTCCGTGAATGAAGCAGTCACGGGGGTGGTAAAAACTCTAATCAAATCGAGTTACGACACCTAATTCCGTGATTGTCTTCGACATTCAACTCTAGACTCGAAACCCCGAACGAGGGGCGAAGTTACCTATCTTGCGGTGGCAAGATTATGCTAATCGTAACTCTTCCGTTTAGAATCTATGTGCGATAAATGAGCTACGACTCGCCAAGTTCCGTATATTTCTGCCGATAGTTGAATTTGCCTACAAGGTCATGTAATTTTCCATCTTGCTTTTGACAAAAGACTTTGACTCCTATTCTTGAACCGCTCGATAAAAATCGGTGAGTAGGTAACTTTGTCATCGGTGACTCACTCACTCACCAAATTCCGTATTCTTGACACTAATTGAAAACCGCTCGAGTTTGTCAACTTGGCACCACTGTATTCTCACTTTTTTCTCATGTCACTTGTTTGAATCTGTCAAATTGTGATTCATTGCGCTTGCGTTTGTAATTTTTGCGATTTATTCAAATTTAAAATTAAAATATGTCTCGCGCTTCAGAAGAGCAAAAGCTGATACTTGTTCAGTTTTTAAAAAAAAATAAAAACGTCGTGGCAGGGAAAACGTCACCTAATTTTACCAACAAAAATATACACGAGAAGTGGAAGACGGTTGCAGCATCTTTGAATAGCACTGGAAGGCCTTACAAAGATTGGAAAAATTGGCGAAAAGTAATGTTTTCATTAATATGCAACTCAATACCTTATTAAAGCTATATATATTGTTGCAATTTTAGACTTGGCAAGATTTATATTCTCGCGTAAAGGCGAAAGCTGCCAGAATCAACCGGTCAACAAACCAAACAGGTGGCGGTCCCCCCAGTGATGAAAAATTGACCACATTCGAGCAGGATATTGTGGACACTTTTATCAAGCCGGTAGTGGTAGAAGGAGATTCATTAATTAAAGAAAGTGTCTGCAATTTCCATGCGAATGATACAAGTATATAGGCTACGATTTTTTAACAACTTTCACGTTAAAATTTTTCCTTGTCCTTTTAGCCACATCCATGATCTCCAATTCCAGTGGTGCAATTGTTCATCCCATAATATTGAACCCTGTTGACGAAGTCGACATCGAGGTTATCAACATTGACGAGGTAACCAAAATCCCACCTACGCAACCCACGACATCCAAGAATCTAACCAGTTCAGCAGCTTCAGAAATTGTTAAAAAAGGGAAGAAGCGAACGGCAGAAGAATCGAGGGCGGAATATGCAGAATATTTGAATAAAAAATTAAAAATAAAAAAAGACTATTACGACGCAAAAATTGAGCACTTACGGCAACAAACTGTTTTAATGGAACAGCAACTCATTAATACACAATTGCTAGAATTAAAAAAACTTAAATATAGCTCCAACTAATGGTAATATGTAAAATATAACGACAAACGATTTTTATTGATAATTACATAATGATATAAATTTTCTAGTTGTATAATTACAAGTGCTGGGGAGCGGCTAATAAATTTTTCAGTGCATTTTCCTAAAAGAAAATTAAAGCTGTTGCCTGCACTTGGTCCATCTGGGCCACTACTACTCCTCCGTTTTAAGCTTTTTCTTCGTGATTTTTTTCTTATACAGTGTAGCACTGCTTCAAGACCAGATCGACAAAAGATTTTTTGGACTAGTCACTTCCTTCCTGAGAAAATATATCTTTATATACTTAGCAAAACTGTGGTAAAAACAGAGGTGTAGAAATTGTACACTTCACACGGATTATGCACACTTTCGCGAGCAAAATGATAATCGTTAAAAAGAAGGAAGTTTAATAAACAGTTTCGTATAAATAAATAATAAAAATCGCCTAGAAATCACAGGAGAACGAGCACGAAAATTTATCAAAAGCGAGGTTAGATTTCATTCATAAATCATATAAACACTGAGAAACAAGGTGAAGGATGCATAAAATACTCACGAAAAGCGTGACGGTTTTATTTATTGCCTATACTTTAGGAAAATATACGAGTAAGATCACCAAAAATCAGTTTAAAAGGATCGCACAACTCAAGTCACTGAAAAAAAACTGATCGACTGAAAGCGCTCGACATGTGACAGTGTGAGTCACCCACTCGAACGGTTTAAAGCGTCAAGAATACGAAAATATGAAAATCGCTCGAGATGACGTCATACTCACTCACTCACACGGTAGTCACGCGTTCAAGAATAGGGCCCTTTATTGCACCAGAGATCTGTACTCTTAACCCTTTCTCAGAATTTAGGCACCTGCTCTTACCTGACCCATTGTTCCCAAAATTTGTTTTTAACCTTGAGTGTAACCAACATTAGTGTGTATACCTATGCATTTACTATCTTTGTTAACACTGCATAAACTTTTACAAATTATTTTGTTAACTAACTTTTGAACTATATTAATCAAACTACGAGGTTTTTCTACGTCGTACTCTTTTTATCCTTAGCAGTTACTTTTGCGAGACTACGAAACCTTTTGACTTTGCTTACATTAATGTACATCTACCAAATTTCCGGGCTTTCACAATCTTGCGATCATTATTAAACAAACTTTTCACAATTTCAGTGCTTTGTTTTACGTTCCTTCCCTATTGTGCTCCAGGCCAAAGCGTTGTTTACATCTAATGTAAGGGGGCCCTGCCTTAGATGTTTTATCTCGTGCCACTTCACTTTTCAAATTTAAGCGGGATCTTGTTTAATTTTGGAGGGAAGCTTCATTCGGGTGGCCATTTTTAAACGTTGTCCGGTTGACTGTAGTTCCGCATTCCTGTAGTGTGAAGTTAGCGTAGAACCTGGGGGTTATAAGCACACTACAGATTCAAATTATTAAAATTCAAGTTACTTCCTCGGATTGTTAATTTTTGTATATTGTAGATATTGGTCCGAATTTTTCACCTATATTTACCCTTTGCGAACAATGATTCGGAATGTTCTTCGCCTCGGTTCTTTTCACGACTTTAAATGCATTTTGTCTAAATTTGTAGGAATTCTTTGGCTTTTTGATTCATTTTACACTTCTGAACAATTATTCAATAAACTCTTTTGCTTTTCCAATTCACTAAGTGTGTTATTTGCGTTCTCTTTCCGATAGTAAGCTTGGGTACAAGTGAGCGCGACCAGCGGCCTATTTCATAAAGCAACTTTCCATAATCTTGAAGTGCAAAGATTATTATCCGTTTCATATAATTATTATCAACCGGAACGGCTCTTATAATGAATGGCACCTTTGATTGGCAGTTAAAGTTTACGGTCACTTAAAATTAGGTAAGTCGATGGCGACTGTATAGCTGTCGTATATAGAAAGTATTATTTGCGCACAATTAACCGCTTCAGACGTGTCAAAAATAACATGACTTTCAAAGTCATTTTTCTTGAGTCACTAGGTCACAGAATTTAAATTCGCGCGTTTAAAACGCGCTATTGTTCATATTTACCGTAATAGTTTCCAACTCGCAACTTGTCCCTTGTCATTGAGGGTCATCCAAATTTTAATTCGCGCTTTACGCATTTGTTTTACAAGAACTTAACTAGCTAACGTGTATTAGCAGGAAATTTCTCCGAAAATAATACACTCTAATTTTCAGATATTTGATCTATCTCTAGTCTAGTATTGACCCGCCTAACACGGAATAAGTGCACCCCACAATGATTTACAAGTGTCCTACAAAAACAATATTCACCCAACGTTAAATTACAAGTAGAGTAACTTAACCCTGTCTCATTTCTAAGCGCGAATTCGCTTTTCACAAAGTAAAACACACTCTACAGTAATTAGAGGTGGTCGCCTTTCCACAAAATCAACCAACCTCACTTATCCATCAAATTCATTGGTGGCTATAAATCAAGTTTACGTGGAGTAATTGTGAGTTTATGCTGCGAATTCCACATGACAGCAAGGCATATCAACGGTTGCAATACTGTAACCTCAGATAATCACGCCGTATCACACGACTCTCCAAAAAATGTAAGAGATACCTTATTTTGACAAACTATAAACGCCTAAAGATCTCAACTTCTTTAAGCCGAATGTGTTGTAGTGTTTTTTTATCAGTGACCTCAAGAACTAATTAATCATATTTCAATATTTCTTTGCCAGTAATGTGTCATTTTCCTGACTTTTATGTAGATAACTATTATTAAAGCATAGCGTGCTTCAAGCTTTTGTTTTGTACCCTTACAGAATCATATTTATTTATTATACTGAACAGGTGATCATGCCTATTTATATTGTTTTATTAAGTACTTACCTATTTATTTATGCATTCATGTGAATGTATATCAGTGAATGCAGCTCTTGCAAGGGGGTCCTCTAATTTCTCTGGTTTAGGATTTATTTGTTAGCGTGATATTTGACTTTAACATGAATACAGCTTCCTTTGTCACCTGTGCTTGTCCGTTCTAAATTAATGGTAGCCGAGACTGGTGTAACCATTTTGATGTGTCTCTTGCGTTTCGTTTTTATTAATTTGTTTAACTGCATTTGGCCCGATTGTATGATTTTTATTATACAACTTGAGATGTTGGATTTAATTCTCGTGTCTGTGTTATGGCAGGGGGTGATCACCAGTTCTCCCCATGCATACATGTACTGCGATTGAAGCTGCAGCTAAAAAAAGCTACACTACATACAAAATCTTATACAATTGATGGTCAATTTTGTAAGCACCCTAAAAACCCGAGACATAATTCTATTTTATTTTGATCACACAATATTACATCAGTTAAGAACAAATCCGTAGATTTGCACACTTTAGTACACATAAACTATTTACACAAAGTGAAGTATGTCATGAATTTATCCATTACAAATATGCACATACAAAAATTTATATTACAATTATGTAAGCTAACGAGAATGTTAGATTAATAAATACTACACTTCAACTTAAAGAAATGAGATTTCTTTAAACGATTAGTTGACATTTAACAATGGCAAAAGTAAAAGAACGAAAAGCGCAACAACCAATGCGCGTTTTCGCTTTGTCCGGAATTCAAACCGATGTATGTATCACATATAAGTATTGTACATAGTCGATATGTACAGTTCCACAACACCCTGAATTCGTTTCCGCCAATTAATGCAGTACAACCTAATTGAGATTCGAAATTAATATGTTCGCCTTGAATTCCGAGCGAAACGCGACTCACAACTGGATCCGAAAGTAAAGAGGAACAATTATATTGCACTAATAGTTAAAGCTTACACAAGGCGTACTTACCGTTCGACACTGCCGAAAAATATAGTTTTTTTAGTAATAAATAAATAACATTCAATGTCCTTCGTTAATAAATTAGCCTAACTAAAATACATTAAAGCTATGTCTTTTCAAAATAATAAAAAAACTGTACACGCCGATTTATTGAATGACACATTTTTCTTTCCGCTGAAGGTCCATTTGCGATAAATCGTGCTCTATCAAGTCGTCATCCTCGATCCTGAAATTGTAGAGCATTATTAAGGGCCTTTTGTATTTTTTTAACTATTTTTTTGATAGAGAGTTAAATGCTAAAAACAGCAGCGATAGGAAACGAAGGTGATGGAAGAGTAAAGGAGAAAATCATTTGTGTAATATTTAAAAAGTTTATCTCATGTGGTAGATAAGAGTTGAGCTGATGGCTAACAAGTTAATTAATTTTGTAAATAGATGTAGTCACCGGTGTTGCGTTTTAAATAAGAATTTTTTTAACTAAAAAAAAAAGTGGAATTGAAGATGGAACAAGAGAGGGAAATGTGTTGAGTAGAAGTTTTTTTTTTCACCTTGGCCCGTGTGTGTGAAGTGTTGGTACGAACTGAATTGTTGTTGACAGGATCGAAAAACCCGCTTCGGTTTTTCGATCCTTAAATAAGGAACTCAACCGTTTACTCGATTTTCATTTTTAATTTCTTTTAAAATGCAGCGATTTTGATGAAAATTTTATCGGACCTTTTTGAGACGATTTCGGATCGATTCTGAGAAATCTGTAGACGAAAAATGTCCCGGAGCGGCTGTGGAGCATCGTCGTCGAGGTGCGCCGGCGCGGATAAAAATTTGCCGTTTCCATACGGTTGAGGTTAGGGAGTCGGGACGCCGGTTCGGGGAGTTTAGATAGTCGGCGCGACTTTCGGTGGGGTTAAGAAAATTCCCGCGGCACCCGTCGGGGTAGCTGCCATAAGAAGCGAAAAAATTGAAAATTTTAGAAAAAAATTCGTAACTCGAAAACTAAGTCAAAGATCCTAAAGGGGTCCGGATCCGGAGGGGGGTGAGAGGTGAAAAACCGGAGTTATTGAATAGCGCGTTTCGGCGGAGAGATTCGAGGTCGAAATCGGCGTACGTACCTGCGGGCAAGTTTTCTCTTTCTTTTTCCGTTTACCTCGAGGAGGTAACTCGGACGACGGCGCCGTGGTAAATTATAATTGCTATACCTGCGGACGAATTTTTTTGAAAATTATCAAAACTGAGAAATTGTCTTTGTAGAACAGTGAACAGTGCGAGGCGAAGCCGAGCTATGGACCGTTACAAACCAGAGTGAGGCGAGGCGGCGAAGCCGCCGGAGCCGAGCATATTTCTCATCAAACCCAAAAAGTGATAACAAAATTAAAAAATCTTATGTGCAGATTTGGATTGAACAAGTTGAATAGAAATTTTCAAAAAAAGGCACTTTATATAGTTGATGTTTTCAAAAAACAAAAATCTTTACAAATTAAAAAAAATTGTCAATTCAGTCTGCTCAATATCATTTTCTTACATTACCAAAACTGAAACTGAAAAATTGTCTTTATGGAACAGTGAAAGGTGCGAGGCGAAGCCGAGCTATGGACCGTTAAAAATCTGAGCAAGGCGAGGCCGCCGGAGCCGAGCGTATGTCTCATCAAAACCAAAAAGTGATAACGAAATTTAAATCTTATGTGCAATTATGTGCAGATCTGGATTCAACAAATTGAATAGACATTTTCAAAAAAAATCACTTTGTATAGGTGATGTTTTCGTAAACGATATTCTTCACATTCTTCAAAAAACTTTGCATAGCGATGTTTCCAAAAAACAAAAATATTCCTCATAAATTCAAAAAAAGATGTCCAATCAGTCTGATCAATATAATTTTCTTACTGTACCAAAACTGAAACTGAGTAATTGTCTTTGTAGCACAGTGAACAGTGCGAGGCGAAGCCGAGCTATGGACCGTTACAAATCAGAGCGAGGCGAGGCGGCACCGGAGCCGAGCGTATTTGTCATCAAACCCAAAAAATGATAATAAAATTTTAAAAATCTTATGTGCAAATTTGGATTGAACAAGCTGAATAGAAATTTTCAAAAAAAGGCATTTAATATAGGTGATGTTTCAAAAAAACAAAAATATTCCTCACAAATTCAAAAAAATTGTCAATTCAGTCTGCTCAATATTATGTTCTTACATTACCAAACTGAAACCAAGAAATTGTCTTTGTGGAACAGTGATCAGTGCGAGCCGAAGCCGAGCTATGGACCGCGACAAATCAGAGTGAGGTGAGGCGGCGAAGCCGCCGGAGCCGAGCGTATGTCTCATCAAAACCAAAAAGTGCTAACAGTATTTAAAATCTTATGTGAATTATGTGCAGATCTGGATGCAACAAGTTGAATAGAAATTTTCAAAAAAGTCGCTTTGTATAGGTGATGTTTTCATAAGCAATATTCCTCACAAATTCAAAAAAATATCAATTCAGTCTGCTTAATAGCATTTTCTTACCACACCAAAACGGAAACTGAGAAATTGTCTTTGTTGAACAGCGAACAGTGCGAGACGCAGCCGAGCTATGCACCGTTACAAATCACAGCGATGCGAGAGCCGCCGGAACCCAGCGTACATATGTCTCATCAAAACCAAAAAGTGTTCCCAAAATTAAAAAATCTTATGTGCAGACAGGGATTCGACAAGATAAGTTTTTCTAATTTTGGGAACACTTTTTGGGTATGATGAGACATATGTACGCTGGGTTCCGGCGGCTCTCGCCTCGCTCCGATTTGTTACGATCCATAGCTCGGCTTCGCCTCGCACTGTTCACTGTTCAACTAAGGCCCGGTTGTACAATGTCCGGTTAAACTTCAGTTTGGTTTAACCGACAGATTTGAGAAATACGATTGGCCAGCTTGTGAAATATTAGCCAATCAAATCCTTTAACCCACAATTCAACTATAAACTGAAGTTTAAACTGACATTATACAACCGGGCCTAAGACAATTTCTCAGTTTCAGTTTTGGTACAGTATGAAAATTATATTGAGCAGAGTAAATTGACAATTTTTTCAAAATTGTGACGAATATTTTGTTTTTTGGAAACATCACTTATGGAAAGTGACTTTTTTTTGAAAATTTCGATTCATTTCCAAAATACAAAATATTCCACAACTTTGAAAAAATTGTCAATTTAGTCTGCTCAATATAATTTTCTTACTGTACCAAAACTGAAACTGAGAAATTGTCTTTGTTCAAACCTCATAGTGCGTGTTGACATCTGACAAACGAAAAACATAAATCATTTTAGACTATTTCTTGCAGTAGAGCGGTAAAATGAAAAGTGCGCGGTAGGTAGGTTTATCTAATTAAATTGTGCAAAAATCGTATTGCGCCGAACGTAGATTACATCTGCAAAAATTAATACACAAACGTGTAATACCCCTCTTTTCGGCGATATCTGTGCAAAATATACTCACTCTAGCGCAGTCTTGAATTTACCAACCTATGTAATGAGATTGACCATTGACATATCGATGCTTTTTTAAACCGAATCAAATTTCTTTTCCCGTTTTAGAAAATTGTAACAACCATTAAGCAAAAAAATAACAAAAAAAATAAAAAAAATTTAAAAAAAATTGACAAACAGTAAACCACATAAAGAAACAAAAAAATAATAAAATAATTTTAAAAAAATTCTATACGGTAAACAACAAAAAAAAGGCGTACGTTAATTAAACGGCGCCGATAGGTCCGTAAGGACCTATCTATTTTTGTTAATAAGGTAAAGTCAGTTTCGGTTTGATAAAGAAAGCTTGGTGGATTAATAATAAAATAAAGGAAAATTAATATCGATGGGAAGCTTATACCAAAGGGAAGTTGGTAATAGATTACACCATAGTAGGTGACAAAGGAATAGATGAATAAAAAAGGGGGAGACAAATGAGAAGAGGTTGAGACGTATACTTACGCCTTTTCTTGACTATCAAGATGATGCACTAACTCGTCTCGTTTATTTACAATTTGAACTAATTCCTCAAGCAGCAGCGCTTCGCGCGCCCTCTGCTCGTCGGTCTTGCGCCAGTCCTCAATCGACAGGCTCATCCGAAGCTCGTGATTTAGCATCGTGTACCTTCGCTCCAAATCACTTTCCTTCTCTCTGACGAAAAAACGTTAATTACAGGCGATCAACGCCGACAACTTACAAGATATTCAACTGCATCTGCCGCCTTAGCAACGCGTTCTTTTTATTTACGAGCGTAAACCATTGCGTCATGAGGGCGTCCTCGACCTCGCTGTTGCTGTGCGGCGCCTCCATGACGTCGCGCAGCTGCTTCTCTAACGTGGCAGCTTGAGTATCGATGGCACTTTGTTCGCGTTCGAGATCTTCCAGTTCTTGATCGATCCAGTTCTGGACGTCAATCTGAAATTAGACAGCTTAGACCGTGGGATAACACGCGAGTCGGATTCTAACCCCTGTCAACCCCAAATCTTCCGGTAACTTATCGGGCGACTTTTCCTTAATGCTAGGACTAGAATCGGCCAGGATTCGCGTCGGCGACTTCGAAGATGGTATGTTACCGTTTTTTTCCAAATCTAAATAGAAGATAGTAATCTCAAAGAATGCAGACAACAGAATGAGAGGTGGTACTACTTTTTTATTATTAGATTTCTTGTACTGATCGGAAGAAATCCTAATTGCAATTTGTTTGATTATGATGGATCATCCTGTATGATTTCATTTTCAATCTTTTTAAGGTTAAATGTGGTTGTTAATTTGGATTGAACACAAATTCTATCATATCAATGTTGATTTGTATTAGAATTGTAAGATGCTTAATTTTGCTTAAATAATTGCCTTGTATTTTGATGTGATTTATTGTTCAGTTAGATTACGTTAAGAAAGATTGGGGAGATCTGGAAATGATTGGCTTGCTTTTTAAGTTTATCTCATTTTCATCCGGTCTTGCAATAACAAGTTCGTTGTGGGAGTTAATTATATAATTTGTAGATAAACAGGTGTTACTTTATCGAAGACGCATATTTGTTTGATACAAGAGGGGGTGCTGGGGGGTCTTTCTTTCGAAGTTTTGCTGGTGAACTTTGACAAAATGATAAAGAAGTAGGATCAGAAGGAATGGAAGTGAAGAATGTTTTATAATAGGCGTAGCAGACGTTGAACGGGGCTTTTTGGTGAAAGACAGTCAGTCTTGGTGGTTGTAAAGTTCTTCCTGAAGAGAGTTTTAATTCTATGTACTACTACTATGTTTGTAGGCCCTGAATGCTTTACTTACAATAATTATTATGAAATGTACGCGTGAGAACGGGGTTCTCGAACTATAACTGTTCCGGTCGCAGAAAAAGTGAAGTTTCATGAAACTGTCAGCGAGTGGTTTTGTGTCGTAGATAAGTGCGCCTGATTATCGCAAACCTTTTACGCGCAGCTTATTTGGATTCTTAAAAAAACTAAGTCATTTTAAAATTTTCTTATTTTGTTTGACCGCCTGTTGCGGGGTATTATGTCCAAACTTGTCTTTCCTTCAGGGATTTTGTTTTAAAGTTTCCATTTTAATTTGAATTTTTGGTGGCGTAGTGGCACACAGCAATATGTTCAATGGAAACATACTCACCGATTTCTTCTGACATTTTTCCTAATCGCTCGTCGGCGTCCGCACCACTTCGGACAATCTCCGGACTAGAGGCACGAATTATTTCGGTCGTCGGCGTCGAACCTTTCCGCGCCTTCGCTATAATTTGCCGGGCGCGCTCGCGCAGTTGCGCCTGTCGCTCGTCCTCCGATATGGCCTAGTGGACAATCGCAATTAAACTTGGTGGGCGTACAACGAAACGACCGAGCCTACCTTCGTCGGCGATGTAGGTCCGTCACGCTTAATCTGCTCAAGCAATTGCCTAGCGCGTTCCTTTTGCTCAGTATGCCTTGTTAGCAAGTGCTGCGCAACACGTGTAAAAAAAAGTTTAATACGCAGCCAAACCTTTACACACAGATTTGCGTTAGAAACTTAAAATTGGTTAGAGGAATTGGGCCTTTGCGGAAATGTTTTTGCCTTCCAGACCGTCAAAACTCTATACACGAATTTTGCGGCAATAAAAACAAAGTTTGCTCTACCAGTATTGGTTCAACACAAAGTTTACAAAAACATCATGCAGATTATACTGGAACAAAAATGACGATATTCAGAAGATTCACATATTGCAGCATCTGACATACTTTGTGAATCACCTGCATATCCCTCCGCTTAAAATCAAAAACCATGCAAAACACGGTACTTACAGAATTCGGAATCGGCAGTTCGGGACTTTTATTTTCACCGCCGCCGTCTTTCTCGCTAACGTGATCGTCGCAAACCCCGTTCACCTCGACGCCAGGATTCTCGTCCTCGTCATCTGAGCCGAACGGATCGCACAGTTCCCGCCTCGTCATCAAGATCGGTTTCTTAACCTCAACTTTTTTACTATTCACATTTTGGGCGAGCTTATCTTTCGAAGGCGACAAAACTTTACCTAGAATATTTTTCGAGCTCGCCAAAATGATTTCCTTCACGTCCTTAACGGACGTCGGCGATTTCTCCTTCGGCTCCTTGAAATTATCGGACGAGTCCGTAATTGTCAACGATAGACGCAGCTTTTCCGGCGGACCGGTCTCCGAATTTTGATTTATTTGATTCTCTTTGTTGATGATTTTCTCCTTCTCCCGCTCGGGCGTTTCCCTTTTACCTTCGGCCACTCTCGCCACCTATAACACACTTCACTTAAATTCGAGTCTCATTAATTCAATCGAATTTGGATGTTTCACAGACTGATTTAAAGAAATGCATGAGGATTAATAAGGCTGATGAAATTTGGTTATCAGCAGTCGCCGCAAGATGTGTTGTTAACGGGCGGTCGCTTTAGAGTTTCAAAACTATCTTTTCGAATTTGTATTTTCGCATGTTTTCATACAAGGGTCAGAGCAACCAAAAGAGCACCGGGATATTTGGACTGGTCATCCAATATCCAAACCATATGAATTTATCATGATATTTTAATGTTCACTTTGCAATACAGTTTAATATTCATTTGTAGGCTGGTTTTTTCTTGGTTGGTTCTTTTTTCCCCCGGCCTATATTTATCTTTGTACTCGGTGAACTACCATTTTCGAAATTTATTCTTGCAATGTAATTTATTAAGGATCCTCAGATCCTTTATAGTTTTGTATTGTCGTCCGTTCGTCCGTCCGTGTGCAATTTGGTGTACGGGTACTTTGGACATTAAGGACGGGCGCTATTGATTTTCAGGAAACTGGTTCAACAGGAACAAAAGTTATGGGACTTCTAGTAAATCGGGAACAGGAAAAGCTGCAGGTCAATATAATAGAAACCAACATATTTCATTTCCTAGATCATGTATAGAGTTCGGACTTTCGCTAGATTATTGCCTATGACTTTTAGAAGTGTAACAATTCAATATAGCTCTTTTCTGTGGTATAGGTCAAAAGTTTTAGAGCAAAATGTACCCAAAATTATTCTTTACACATAAATTTGGAGTTGTAAAAGTTTTCAAACGCATTATCTTGATACTGAAAGAGTACATCCACGTGCACATTTCATATCCGTATGTGTGTGATTCAAAGATGTTAAATTATTTTTCTGAGGCCACATGAATTTTGATCAAAATACGTCAAAATCGTTATTTATGCACCAAGATCGTTGGGAAAAAGACGAAGAGCATTATCTCAATGACCAAAACATGAATTTGATCTATTTGTGGCGACCACGTGGATTTCGATCAAAACATGTCAAAATCGTTATTTATACACCAAGATCGTTGGGAAAAAGACCAAGAGCATTATCTCAATGACCAAAACATGAGTTTGATCTATTTAAGGCGACCAGATGGATTTTGATCAAAACATGTCAAAATCTTAATTCTTGCACTGATATCGTTGGGAACACGATTAAGAGCATTATTCCAATGACCAAGACATGAATTTGATGCTTTTTTTGTAAATAAATAAAATGTATTTTGTAAGATTAAAATAAATGGTCGTTAAAAATGTGATGGTAATACTGAGGATCCCTTTTATGTCTTAAGAAAATGTGTACCAAACTTGGTTGCAATGGGTTCAGCCGTCAATAAAGTGTGGGGGGTCATGTTTTAACCCAATCCAATACCTCCCTTACTAACGCGCGGATGGTAAAAATTGTTTAATTTTATAATTCAAACCTGTGTTACCTGCTGCTGTTTCGCCTTCCTCAAATTCATGATCTCCTGGCCGAACAGCTGCTTTGTCACATCAGTGTCATTGTCCGTATTAAATCGACCGATCATGTAACTACTTTCCTCGGTAGTCTTACCGATCTGTTGCACCTCCAGCTCGTGCCCCGTGAAATGCGCGCGTAACTGGTACAGGTAAGTCATGACCGCCAGCTTATCTGGAACTGAAATGCGACGTAGTTATGCCGGGGGCTTTCGAGGTGTTTACCTGCCAGCATGTCCATGTCGGAGGGCTCGATGACGCGAGGTATCCCCAACGTGTCCGCCGCGTCGAAGGCCTTCTTGCAGTTGGACCTAACCTCGTGAGGCGATAGCGAGTCGAAATCGCTAAAAACAAAATTTAGCGTTAGAAACGATATAGCGAATCTTGATCACAGCACCACATTAGATGACATTACTTACATTAATTCGGGCTTGAAATGGTGAATCAGCGCGCAGAAAGCGATGCCATTCCTCCAGCTCGTCGTCAAATTGGTAACTTTAACACCGGAATAATTCTTCGTCATCTCCTTGCACCATTCCAACAGATCCTGACCCGGCGTGGTCAGCTTCTGCTGTTGCGGTTTAATGCTGATCGTCTCTTTCGGTTCGTTAATCTTGAGCTCGAGCGGCTGCAGCTTCAGATTGACGTTTTTCGGCCGCGCCGGTAACACGACGTCGTTCTCGCACTCCTCCTCTAAGCTATCCAACTTCTCCAGCTGCTCCGAGCACAAATCGGAGTAGGGATCGGTCTCGCTCTGATTGAAATCGCTCTGCTTAGGCGGGGGTATCTGGTAGGGTATCTTTGGTTTATCGGAGAGAGGTGAGAATGTTTCCACCGTGGGGGTTTTGTCATCACGAGTCAACGACTGTATACTATTTACTAAAATTTCGCACTTTAATCGCAAAGGTCAGATTTGAACGGATCAGTATTACCACTAATGGGAGTACTCGCAAAATCGGAACCGGACAGACTGTTCGTCATTTGTTGCATTTGTTGCGTCACTTCGTTTATACTATTTTTCATGGAATTGTCACTAAGCGAAAAATCTTCATCTTCGAAATCTTCGAGTGGCGCAATGTCGCTGTTGTTGTTCACCGACATTAGAGACGCCATGGACTGCATATCTTCGTCTCTGAAAATTAAGATTCCTTTCTTACCGGTAAAGAGGTAAACGGTTCTTAATAAACACAAGGAAAAAATGTCTTTGCCTTCCAGACCGCCAAAATTCAGAGTAAACAATTTTGCGGCAATAAAAACAAAATATTTTCTACCAGTATTGGTTCAACACAATATTTACAAAAATATCATGCAGATTATACTGGAATCGTTCAATCGGGAAAGAGGTGAAGTAAAAAATTGCCTTTAATTTTGGAAACTGAAATGTTATTTTATAGCCTCCGAAAGCTCTCTTGCTAAGGAAAGAGAGAAGTCGGTTAATTACTCAAATATCAAAGTGAAAACAGATTACGCCGCTTAACCTCACAAAACAAAAGGGCATTGCTGAAGTGGATAAATACCTATAATAAACCGTAATTAGTTGAATGAGTTACAGTTAACAGCCTCCTATTAAGTCGAGATTACATCCGCTAGGTGCGCCCTTAAAAAACTTGCATTTTTGACACCGATCCCGAATTTTTAAGACGTCTGGGAAGGACGTAATTAATTAGAGAAGATGTGATCCCGCCAGAGTTTCCAACTTTTATTTCTTTTAGTACTGTATATCGTTGTATTCGTAATAAAAAATGCTCTTCAATTCAATATGTACCGGGTGACCCAATAAGACTGTTCCTTGGCCATATCTCGGGAACCGTTCATCGTATGACTTAGGGGTAAAAAAAAATTATTGAGTAAATCGGTTATGAAGAATCGCTGGAAAATATTTTCAAGTTCTAGAGATGACCATCAGAGGGCGTAACTGCCATTTTAAATTTTATAATTGCATTTTCTTTAAATTTCGCATATTAAACTAAACAATCTTTTTTCACATTTTTAAAGAGAACCAATTTATCTATCATTTTCGTAAAAACAAAAACTCAGTTATTTCAAAAACAAAGATGGTGTGGGGCGTTCAATTGTTTTTGCAATAACCTGCTTTAACTTCTTAACCGTTTGACCGATTGTAACAAATTTGGTATCGTTGAAAAGAGCATTCCTTGGGCAATGAGAATCAACCAAAATATAGTTAATCTAGTTGAATCCTTCTCCGCCAGGGGGCTAGTTTTGACACTATGATCCAAAATCCTGAAAAAAATCAAAATGAATGATATGACTTTTTCTGTATGAAAAAGTAGCCGAAAAAGTAGCCAAATAACATCCAAAGAGAGTTTTTCAAAATCTCAGTCCTAACCTCAAATATTGGAAAATTGAGATTAATTAATTATTTAATAAAAATGCTTAAATTGTATCTTAAATTTACTTTTGAGGTATTTCCGGTATTGGTGTAATGCTTGCTTAATTTATGTTTATTGATGTTGATTACTTGGTCTTGTCCCTGAAGTAACACTCATATAAGTTTTGATCATTTTATTTTAATATGTGGAAATTACAGATTCGTTTGATGTATGTACTGACTTGTTGTTTGTAACTAACAATTTTCTCCGTGAATGAAGCAGTCACGGGGGTGGTAAAAAACTGTAGTCAAAATTGAGCCACGACACCTAATTCCGTGATTGTCTTCGACATTCAATTGTAGGCTCGAAACCCCGAAACCAGGGGCGGGTTACCTATCTTGCAGGAGCGGGATTACGCTAATCAAAGCTCTTCAGTTTAAAATCTATGTGCGATAAACGAGTGGCGATCACGAACTTATAAATTAAGATGGACTGCTGATCAAACAGTTGCATAGAGGTAGAAATGGCCCTAGCATGGGCGCCGCCATGATGTGCACATTTTAGTTATTTTCTAGGGGAATTTTCCTAGTGCTCAAGTTTTGAGACTATTGCAGCCTTGGAAAATGACGTGTCACAGTAATTTATTTAGAAAACGTGAGGTTAATGCTTGTTTATTAGTTGATTTGAATTTCGCGCCAAGTGAGTGCACATCATGGCGGCCCCCATGTAGGTGTCATTTGTTAATTCAGCATTAGCAGTCCATCTGAATATAGTATAATAACTCCGTGGTGGCGATTCAATAATTTCCACGTATCTTGTTTTTAGTTAAATTTGCCTACAAGGCCATGTAATTTTCCATCTTGCTTTTAACAAAAGGAGTTTATTGCACCAAAGATGAGTTACATCCTGTATATTTCACCCTTTCTTACAATCTTGGTAAGTACCTGCTTACCTGACCCATTTTTCCCGAAACTTGTTTTTAACCTATTTATTACCTCTAGAAGTCTACATGCTACTTTTTGTGATGTTATAATTTTATCATACGCATTCACATCATTACAAACATTTAATTTTGCAACACAATTTGATATTAATTTGACGGCTGGTTTTTTTTATTGGCAAGTTCTTTTTTTCCCAGCCTATTTCTATTTTTATTCGGTGAACTAGCATTTCCAAAGTTTATTTTTGTAATGTAATTTATTTCGACTTAAATTTCTGAGCTTTCACAATCTTAATAATTGCGATCATTATTAAACAAACAAGTGTAGTAGTGTGAAGTTAGCGTAGAACCTGGTGGTTAAGTACACTACATGGTGCAAAATATATCCCTGTCTCTGTTAGGTATGTTGGCACAGATGCTCCTTATTGAGAGTACACACAGACTGTGTTGCTCAGTAGTAGAGCGTTGGGCTACATGGCAAGGAGGTCGGGTGTTCGAACCTGGGCTGAGGTAAGAATTTTTCATCTGTGGCAGAGATTACTATTATAGCTTAATTTTAAAGTGCAATTGTGCACACATGACTAGAAAATGTAGCCCATGTAATTCTGTAACCAATATTAAAAAACACTTTAGAGCACATCTATTATTACACATGACACTTCCAAGGATGATTGCCATCAAAGTTATTGATCCATCAGTATTACACGCTAATTGAGTAATTGCAATGGCTCTTCTAATTCAAGTATGAAGCGTGTGCCATTTTCAAACTTGGCGGTGATTCTTGTGACGTCATTGGGATAAAAACGTCATCTGCGCGAACTTGACGAATTTGCGTTCAGTTATAGGCATACCTTGTGTTATTAGACCATGGGAAGTTCCTAGGTTTTCCTAATTCGTAAGGTAAATACTGGAGTAGTATAGAACAACTTAAGACCTTCTGTAGGGGCACCTCTAAAAAACATTATGCGGATCACTCTTTAATTGGAAAACCTGTTGATGGTCCAGAATAAGAAAAGAACAATAAATAAATGGGAGGCTATATCTATGTATATATGATTTAAGCTTAATTATTAACAGATTTTAGTTTCCTAATCTTAGGCGAAGGTCGTGCAGTGTACTTCATTATCGCAGTGGACATTACTGCACTACCGAATTTGAAAATTTTACGCCGATCAATTAATTAAGTATAATTAAACGTAGTTAAATTAAACTCGTCTGATTGGATTGGGTGGCATAATTAATAGATCTATAATGCTCGCCAGGAGAGAATGTCAGTCACTCACAGAACACTTGATGGCAGTCTACAATCGTACGGTTTACTACGAAAAACATACAATTGTAGATCAGTATCACGTGTTCTGTGAACGTCATTCTCTCCTGGCGGCACCTAATAGATTTTGAAACATGTCCCAGATTTTTAGAACGTCAGGGGGCCGCACAATTAAATAAGGAAATTTTAGTTTTTGGACGGAAGTTTTTGGCTGGGAAACCGGCGATCCGTCCATGAGATGAGCGAATTTTATAATGGGTAAAGCCAATGTTTAGAGATCTTTTTGCTTTTGGGTGTTTACCCGAATAGTGGCAATTTTCACAGTTCCATTAAGTTTGTAGATAAGCCTCGAGATAAGCATTTGCTATCTTTCTTCCGCTAAACATAAGGGATGTATTGCTTTTTCCTGCATTTGATTTCCTGTAGCAACTGCTAATTAATTTACGCTTTGTTGCTTTGCATCGCTACCGTGTGCCGTAATTCTGTTTTAGTTGCTTCGCCGGACGTAACCGCCCACCGAGTTCTGGACTAAGTCGCTTCTTCAACCGACTGCGTGTGGTTATCGATCGAGTCAAACCTCTGCGACCGCTCCGAAACCGCCGACCTTGGTCAGAAGCAAGCTTTTAATCTTCTGATGGCGCTCGAGTCCGTCCGTCCGTTCCGCCGACTGCCGCTACTTTTTTCCCGCAGGTGTGATTTAATTACAATCATTTGTAAATTTCTTTTAATTAAATTTTAACTTTGATTCCGCTGATTATATTTAACTTTCATGGCCTATGTGCGCGGACTTCCTAACTGAAGTTCGTCGAATGGTAGTCAGGTAACACTATGGATTTCTTTATATAATCATATTCATAGGTATTTTTACATCCTTTGATTGTGTCCCACTCTTGATGAGCCCCACGCATGCAATTGAAATCTCTAGTTTATTGACTTTTGAACCAATACCAAGTTCTTGAAAAGCCATGAAGAAAAAAGAGGTTAAAGCATTTGTTTTTTGCTAACAACAAGCCACCCTCCCTTCTTAATTTTTAAGCAAAATTTAATTAACTTAAAATAAATTAAAGTTGAATCAAATTAATCAAAAATAAGAAAAGAAAAATTTTTTGATTTTTATATTTTATCCCAACGCCCTAATTGTTTACCTTTATTTTTAAATGGACGGGGGTGCAGCCACTATATATTCACAAATATCCATACCCTAACCCAGATTCATTCTTATGTACCACCATGTACTGTACAGGGTGAGTCAACGATTGCGCGTAGTAACTTAATGCCTTGAAGATAAGATTTTTCGATAGAGTGCTTTTGTATTATGATATGGTTGAATATTCTCCACATTTTAAAAATATTTGGAATTATACAGGGTGCGCCCACAAAGTAGGACGCCAAATTGGTACATTTTTTTAAATAGAACCCCCTGTATTTGAATGCATTTTTGAATTCTACGTGTAATTGTACGTCATTTTTATTATATGGTTAATATCCGAAAAGCTAATAGTTTTAAAGATAATTCGATTTTTAAGAAAAATTAGGCATTTGCAAGCGTCAGTATATTGTCAAAATTATTACTTAAATTTTGATTCCAGGTTTTATATCTTTTAACTTGGGTTAAGTAAAATTCAAATAAATACATCTACTATGAAACATTAAAAAAAATAGCCTACAGGGTGTTTTTTTGGTAGGTCCAAAGTTGCAAAACTTCATATTAATAAATTTCACTTTTTTTAATGGAACGCCCTGTATATTTTTCTGTCATCTTTTAGCTCTTCCAAAAACCATCAACTTTTGATAATAATGTCTTATACCTATCTCTGATATTTTTCAAAATATTCAAAAAAAAAAATTCATTTTTCGAATAATTCATTTAAGTTTAAAAACTGGAGAATAAGTTTGACAGTAAAAACAAACAAATATCTTGGTTTTCCTAGTATTAATATTTTAATCTAAATAAGTTCTAATTTACATAATAACGAGGTGAATATACAAAATTAAACTAATATCACTGAGTGGATGACATTAGGAGTTAATTAAATTTGCTTTGTAGTCAAATGTTTTTACTTATTCTTCAGTTTTTGGACTTAAAATAAATTGTTTGAAAAATAAATTAATCGATATGATTTTCTTCTTGGACGAGATAGATAGATTGCCTTTTTTTTGCATGGCCTCCTCACTATTATGTAAATTACATATAACTTATTTAAGAATATAAAAACCAGGAAAACCAAGATATTTCGAAAACTATCACAGATAGGTATAGGACATTATTATCAAAAGTTGATAGTTTTTGGAAGAGCTAAAAGATGACAGAAAAATATACAGGGTGTTCCATTAAAAAAAAGTGAGATTTTTTAATATGAAGTTTTGTAACTTTGGATCTAGAAAAAAAACACCCTGTAAGCTATTTTTTAATGTTTCATAGTAGATGTATTTATTTGATTTTTACTTGACCCAGAATAAAAGATATAAAACCTGGAATCAAAATTTAAGTAATAATTTTGACAATACATATACTCACGCTTGCAAATGCCCAATTTTTCATACAAATCGAATTATCTTTAAAACTACTAATTTTTCGGATATTAACCATATATTTAAAAAAATGTACCATTTTGGCGCCCTACTTTGTGGGCGCACCCTGTATAATTCCAAATATTTTTAAAATGTGGAGAATATTCAACCATATCATAATACAAACGCACTCAATCAAAAAATCTTATCTTCAAGGCATTAAGTTACTCTGCGCAATCGTTGACTCACCCTGTACAACCAATGGTATGAGAATCAATCAAACTCCCAAAAAAAAACACCCTGTATAGCCTTTAGCCAGTCGCAGTACTGAAAATAGTATTCCTTCTACAGTGGAGTCAAAATGTATTTTTCGTGAAAAATGATGTTCAGACTTTAAAATCTCTTCATTTACGTATAATAACATTTTTACTTCCGGTCGTGGGAAATTTTTGATTTTTTGATTACAAAACAAAATTCATTTTCATTATTTAAGCGTAGCAAACAGAGACCAGTTTTGGCAACGAAAGTGAATAGCAAAGGTCAAAGTCACTTGTTCACAATGTGGTGGGAAAGTGAAAAATAAACACTTCGCCTCTCTCTCTCTCTTGGCCACTGACAAGGACATTCATATCAAGTATGCTTGACCCATTACAAGTGAAACCAGATAATAAGGCAAGTGCAAAACAAACAAGAAGTTATCAGTCTAACGTAAAACTTACGTCGCCTTCCCTTCCCTTAAAAACACACACGATAGCGTACATTCCAGCTTCGCTGACGTGACTTTTTTACTCATCGGCTTAAAGTTCAACTGCATCTGATGTTGCGTCGACTCCACGCTCGCATATTTGCGCATATTCACCTGCGCCATCGCCAGCTGTCGTCTTTTCCCGGTCGATGCGACCTGCGCAAATCGAGCCATTAACAAAAGACCCACACGTCAATCGCCTAACGGTTTACGAAGACAACGATCAGACTTAAACTAAATTCGTAAGGAAAAACAACGCTCACTCTTAGATCGCAAAAATTGACGTCTCATCACTATCTTTGTAAACAGACGCGAATGCGCAAATCGACCTACGTCCTCGATGATAAAGGTCCAATCTTTGTCTTCGAGCTCGTTCGTCCGGGGGTCCTTGAAAAGTGTCACGGAGACCTGGTGGTTTTCGGGTAGGGGCCAAACGACGAGACCCTTGTAGGGATTTTGGAGGGTGGGCTCCCACTGCATTGGTGTCGAGATGACGCGTCTTGATCGCCTCGACCAGACGATTGAGAGTTTGTGCGGTTCCCTAGACAAAATCGCATTTAATTCTAACACAAAAATGGGTGCACTTACCATTTCGGTGTGAATTCGAATGACAACTGATGGTAGGAGACGGTAAACTGAAACTTAACGGCTAACTTATTGACCCTCTGCAGCCTCTTCCATACAGATCCCATTGCGGAACCGCTACGTTTAATTACATTAATTAAAAGCGTTCACTAATTAAAACGAATTAACACACCAGCGTTTTTTTTTGTTATGCCAGTTCACAGAAACACCAAACAATTGTTAATCAAAGAGGAAGTGACAAACTTACTATCCTGTCGGGACTGATAGAAAAATCAATTTGTTTTTCCCCATTTTATGTGAGATAATGAAACTAAAACAAATTGTGGTAGTTAAATTAAGAACGATGATAAAATTGTATCGTAGGAAGAACTTTGATATTGTCAACAAATTAACCTTGTAAAACGATTCATTTGACATAGGGTCAAAATTGAATTGAAGCCAAAAAAATTGCGTTTCTAAGATGGAAGGCTTACCGTTTCACTTTCAATTTCTTGTCACATATTTTGGGGAATTCTCAGTTAGTTTTCACACATTTTGCAATGATTTTGGTGATAAAAAAAATAAGGAAAAATCGGGAGGAATTCGATTAGGGTGACGTTTATAAAAGTTACTGAAGACATTGCCAACTTCACCAAGGAAAATAAACTGTTTATCGCCGTCACGTGTGCGGTGTGTTTTTTCGAAAGTTGCGAGGTTGCCGAGTTTCGTCTTATTTCGATTTTCAATTCTGACATGTACCGGACGTTCAATAACTTTCTGGTCAGATCGTTTGCGTTTGGCAGTTCCATTGCGCTTTAAAACTAATGGAGGGAATTAAATGCTTGGTGAAAATGTTGTTGATTCATTAAATGAATAACAGAGGCCAGACTCAGGCCACGGAACACAAAAGTGGCATAGGTGTAACCATTGAAACTATACCATTATAGTTCAATAACTTACGTACTATTTTAGATCACTTCCATATTTTAATCTAAATCGCATGCGCCTGTGGAAAGAATGGCAACTATTTTCAATGGCCAGTATTTTAAACCTAATGTAATTATTTTCATTGTTTTGTTGCCTCGAATTATCGAATAGATTTTGTTTTGTTTTTTTGAAATTTATCACAGCCCACTTGACTAAAATATAAAAACCATTGGCGCCTATTTAACTTTTGAAAGTTGGTAAATGTTAAATTAAATTAAATTAAATTAAATTAAATTAAATTTCCCTTTATTGCCCAACAGAAAAACAAACATTCCAATTACAGGACAATATGACGTTACAAATAATAAAGTGTGCAAAAGTGAAATAGTAGCTTAAATCTTAATATAATAATACCTTATTGTTCTACATAACAAAACAACCAAAAACAAAACAAAAGAAAATTAATAAAATGAAAAACTATGAATGCATTGTATGGTATTGAACAATCAACAATTGCTTTAACTCCCTAAGGGTGTGAAAATTTATATCACCTAACCGAGAAATTTTGTTGAATGTACTGCACATGTGAAACATCGGCGACTTTAACATTAAATTAGTACGGGCGCTCTTACAATAAAAGGTAACAACATTCCGAGTGGCATGAAGTGGAACCGAAAATGTGATCAAAGACATCAACTCAATGCAATCCACCTTATTCGACACTATATTGTATAGAAAGGTCAGTCCAAGAACTAACCTCCGAACTTCCAAAGAAAGAAGTTCAAACCGTGCGTTGAGTAGCGCGTTCTCATACCCTTGAGGAGGGTAAACTCCATCGCACTTAAATGCGAGATATTTCAATAGTCTTCTTTGCACAGATTCAATTTCATGTTTCATATTTTTATAGTGCGGACACCAAACTATAGCACAATACTCTAGCTTAGATCTAACAAAACTGATATAAAGTAATTTTATTAACGAGATGTCCTTAAAGCTTTTTGTATTGCGAATTATAAAACCTATCATCTTCATCGCCGAGCTGGTGATATTTCGAATATGAGTGGTAAAAGATAACTGATTATCAAATGTAACACCCAAATCCACAGCAGCAATATCACGATTAAGAACAGTATCTCCACATCTGTACAAGTAAGTAATGGGTTGCAATTTTCTTGTATATGTGACCACCTTGCATTTCGATGTATTTAAATGAAGACAGTTAGCATCACACCAATCTTGAATGATCCGTAATTGGCTTTGTAAATATTCACAGTCACTAATCCCATTAATACCATAAAAAATTTTCAAATCATCGGCATAAAAGTGATGTGTACACGGTATTTGAGTTGATAGGTCATTTATAAAGAGGACGAACAGTAGTGGCCCAAGGTTAGACCCCTGGGGCACACCTGAGGATGCAGAAAACAGTTCAGAATTATAGTTGTTGAATGCTACATATTGCACTCTGTTAAGCAGGTAAGAATGTAAGAAAGATAGCATCGATTCATGAAAACCAAAGTCTCTTAGTTTATTAATTATTATGGAATGATGAATACGGTCAAATGCCTTGGCAAAATCAGTATAGATATCTCAAATATGCTACGTGTTGAATGTGGAGTTCCTCAAGGAAGTATTGTGAGCCCATTGTTGTTCAATATATATGTTAGTGACTTACATCGTTTTCTCCAACATGTTGATGTTCACCTCCACGCGGTAGATATGCAGCTGTTAATAAATGCCAGTGTTGAAACTATTAATCAACGTATAGATGATTTAAACGAAGACCTAGACATTATCACCAAATGGGCAACTGCAAACCACCCTAAGCTTAACCCCTGTAAAACAGTATTAATATCGATAGGTACTACTGGACAAATTAAAAATTTTTTACATACAGTAAAGGTGTCTGGAACTAAAGTTGAATATGATACATCCATGAAGATCTTATAGGTATGGTTTTAGATCAAAACTAGAGCTGGGAACTGCATGTGAACTTATACTAAATAAGTCATACTATAAATTAAAGAACTTATATAGATGTAAAGACGCGCTATCAAAGGAAATTAAACTAAAATTAATAAAACAACTAATATGACCTTTACTGAGCTACGGCGATGTGTGTTATCATGGACTAAATAAAAGCCTATCCATTAAAATACAAAAAGTTCACAATTATTGTGTCCGTTACGTCTGCAACATACGTAAATATGATCGTACCTATAACACCAGCACTTGTTAATCTTAATATGCTTAATATGGAGAAGATGCGCTTATTTAACATCCTGTGCTTTTTACATAAATTGATCATTGTGAATAAAAAACCAATTTACTTAACTGAACAATTTAACACTCTTCAAAGTTTTCATACATATGGTATTCGTAGTAACAATCTTTGTATACCCAAAGTTAACGCAAAAGTGGGATAGAGATCGTTTTATTTGCAGGCGACAAAACTATGGAACAATTTACCAGTGATTGTACAATTGATTGGAGAGACTTTTACTCGAGTGTGCTTGAATGTCATAAAAAATGATGTTACGAATTTTTGATAAATTCTTTACTATACTCTTTCATTCTTCTTTTATTGTTTGTTTTATTTTCTTCTGTCGCTACACTATTGTATTTTTTGGTACCTATAGAGGCTCGAAATAATTTGTTAACTTATTCCTATGTCTAGGTATATTCTCTAAGGCAGCCATCAGATTTGATTGTGAATGCTCTGGCGCCATCCTTGCTATAATTATTGATCATATGATATTATGACCATACCCTTAAATGGGTGAAATTCTGTACCTAATTACTGTTAGGGCAGTATGAAAAGTGATCTCAGAAGGTATGAATGGAATGCGGATATTTAGCGCTAGTTACATTATTAATCATTATTCGCAGATCTGTAATTTTCGTCTGTGAAACTATTTTGCCCAATGATTTATGGATTCAAAAAAATTAGGTACGCTGTTTAGTTTGTTGAATTAGGTAGGTATAGGAAAAACAGCTAAAGCGAGCGCAAGCCCGTTCGATGAAATTTAATAGTTCATGGCACTGAAACCATTACTTTAATTGGAGACACAGTAATTACTACGTCTGGACAGTAATTGTAGCTTAAACAAACACACGAATGTTAATCCATGAGAACACTACCTAAAATACCTATGAAGACAGCGACGGTATATTATTCATTCAATGCGCCCATTTCAACAACAAACTCAACTGTCTGTTAAAAGTTGTTTGAGATGCTAATTTCGGCTTTCTGTATAAACCCTTAATCCGCTTTTAATGTAATTACATAAGGCATTCCAGTTTTTAGTGCTGCCTGTAATAAAGGGGCTTTTCTCCTTTTCTAACATTATGAGAAAGGTGTCCTGACGTTTTGTTGTTAATAAGATTTTAATTATCTTATATACCCACTTATAATTCCCGATAATTAAATAGCGTGGCCAAAATGTACGAACTCAAAAGCAGGAAGTCAAACTTTGTTATAAGTCAAATTACTTCTAGTTTCGTAATTTTTATAATTACATAGTGTCACTCTCATTATGAAACGCAACGGTTATTTAATACTTTTTTCCATCCCTATTAGTTTAAGTGGATGAGCATCAAACTAACTGAAACAATTTTAAATACCTTTTCTTAATTTCGTTGTCTATTTCCACATGAAAGAAGTATTAAGGTAATAAAAATGTCGCAGGCCAATGAACACAGTTTATACAGGAAACTCAACTTGACAAACTAGTGGGGTACCTACTGCTAAATCATCCTACTGAAACTGACGCCTCTTTTATTTCAAAATACTGGTGGATCGCTCCTCAAGGCTTCGACACGTATGAAATACCCACAACTCTCTAAAAGAGTTGATCCGTTAATTTAGCATATGAATTAGGACCGGCCATTTCAAATGCATTATCAAACCCGTATATCAAGTGGCTAAGTACATATGTCCTGACGTCATTATTCATAAGCCAATGAGAAAAGAAAAGGTAAATGTTTAAGAACGTGTGGGGCGGGACAGATGGTCTACAGTTGGAATACACACACACACAATTATAAAAAGTTGTATCTATTGTTGTGTACTAATTAGATCCTCCCTTCTTTGTTCCACATGATAGCACCAATAAAAGGAAACGACCTACAAAACTATTACCTATACATTTAATTACAAGACACTGTAAGATTTGTAATTATCGCAATTACCTGTACCATATAATAACAAGGTCCAAGTGCTAGTAAAATAAGATTTATTAACAAACTACCTACTAAACAGATGCACGAAACCGGACTACTAAACTTGATTCTTTAATTAAATTCAATAGAAAGTTCGCACTATCAAATTTTTCTTTTGTACAAATCTAGGCGAATTACTTTTTGTCCAAATTATAACTTACCAGGTAAAGATGATGTCTGAAACGTTGTTTAATTCTAAATTTCCGAACTGATGACACTACAATATACCACACCCTTGCGGGAGCTGTTTTTATTCTAGGGCAATGAAAACGCGACACTTAACCAATTTGAAGCAAATCAGGTTTTATTAGCAAAAAAATGGGTCTGATGGTTAAATTGGTGATCATTGGCACGGGATTAACCCATTGTACATTTAAGTCAAATATGGACAGCACGAACTGGTCACCAGAAATAAATACCTATACCTAATTACGTAAGGCCGCTCCCGTTTGTAATACCTACCTATAGGTATCAAAATACGTCATTTATTT